CCGTTTTGCACGGCAGCGGCAGGGTCTTTAGCAAGCGGCGCAGGGGAAACTCTGCCCGTCTTGCACGGCGGCGGCGAGTCTTCGGCAAGCGGTGCAGGGAAAACTCTGCCTGTTTGGCACGGCAACGGCGATGCTTTTTTACGGTGATGCGGAAGCGCTGCCGGTTTTTTTTGCGGCAGCGACAGTGCGTTCTAGGTAGTGACGCGGAAGTGCTGCCAATTTTTTGCAGCGGCATCGCTGAGATTTTTGTGGTGACGCGGAGGTGCTGTCGAAATCTTCCRGCGTCGACGGTGTTTTTTCTGGCAGCGACGCGGACGTGCTGCTGAACTTTTGCGGCGGCAGCAGCACGTTCTAGGTGGTGACGTGGAAGCGCTTAGAYTGTGAGGGGCATTTTGTGGCAGCATGTTCTGGTATTGTCGGCAACTGCGTGGTGGTGCGGTTGGTGGCGGAGACGCTGAGACGCCGTCAGATTACTGGGAGGTGGTTGTGTATTGAGAGGGTGTCGCGACAAGCGACCGTACTAGGAAATAGTGTATATCGTTTTGCGGGCGACTTGTTGTGACGATTGTTTTCTCTGGAGTGTGATTTTACACGGTCTTCTTGAGTGGGCCATCTCTTCAACTTCACTCACGGTCAGTTGTTTGACTCAGACCCCTTCACACCTGTGTGAACCCACACTTGCTTGGCCCTATTCTTTGAATGTTCACTGGATAGGTAGAGAAGATGTGTGTTTGTGTGTGTGAATGAAAGTCTGACGTAAGTGTAAATTGCATTGTTTTCCTTTGAACTTGTTGTTTGATCTGATGTGCAGGTAGGTAGAAGAAAGCTTGAAAACGAGATTGGCCATGTCAATGAAAATGGGGACAGGGTGTTTCTCTTCTATCTCTTGTTTGCATGTTTGTCACAAGAGAGAAAATCAGTTGACGACGATAAAAGGAACGATCACACAAAAAAAAAAAAAAAAACTTAATCGGCCACGGACTCGTTCCAGATGTTACCCGTTCTTTCCCGAATGACCACCTTTGTCTATGCCTGTCTGTCTGAATACTTTTCTTCTCTGTGATCTTCTTCTTCGTCTAGGTTCACCTYGAYGTCAGGCGGCAAGGGGTTGATCGTCTGCTGTGGWAGAGGYGTTTCCTTTCCCTAGGAGGCATCTGAGGCGGGGGTTCGTTGCCTTAGGGGCCGGCCCTGTGATCGACTCAGAGTGGACCGCACTGCGGGGGGATACCATGCTGTTGTGGCGGAGCCAGCCCGACTTCTGAGATCCGAGGTTCACTCGGGCGAGGACGAGGGGTATCCCAGACCACCTCCTAGGCGATGGACATGCGCTATTCACGGAAGACGTTAAGTCATTGTCGGCTTACACTAAGGAGGACCGTCATAGTTTACCCTTTGTGGCCGTCTTAGGAGCCACAGACGAGTGGAGAACTGACGCCATAAGAAGCCCAGTTCGTGTTTTCACTAGCTATGGACGGAGTGCGACTAGGCACTATCTTCGCGGATAGGGTTGCACCATAAGAAGTGCAAACCTGAGGTGATCAGACTAGTTGACGGGAAGATGTGAATAGAGTATTGYTGTAAATATCTTCATGTCGAAAGCTGGTACTTTGGAACAGAAAGAGTAATTATTGTCCAGGAGGACAGAGCGACCGACAAAGTTTGAAGGTAGATCCCTGACCTTAATGGGGCATCGAGCGTCCGATTGTTCGAGCTGGTCGCTGATTTCTATAGGTGGTAGCCGAGTTATTTGCAGATGGCATTCACACCAAAGTTAGAGAAGTAGTGAAGTCATCAGTAAAACAATGACACTCTAACTCTGCTTGAGAGTCGGGGCGCTCATATTCCTCACTAGCAGCCAGTATGGGGCAGGATGAAAGAACTTGGCAACGCATCTCATCGAGTCGGAAAAGTCGTCACAGTTCAGCCATTTGGCAGGCAACGTGAAGATATTTTGGTCGGACGCCATTCAAGCGTCGCTACGCATGTAAGTCATGCCCTTTTTTTATCCGGTTGTTGATAAGTGAGGTTCGAAGACGAGTCAACTCATGTTGTCTCGTCGTTGGATGGAAGTCAAGTCAACGTTTGTCGATTAGATTGAAGCGAGTGGTATGCATGATTGTATTGTATGTAGGATGATTTTGGAAAGTAATTCAACTTACATTGACATGAGTCTTTTGTAACATTTTGATTGTCCTTGAAAGAAGGGGCTAGGATTGATTAAGGTTTTCTTACGCTTGGAATATCACGTCCTAGTCGACCGACGTCGGTCCGATTCCTGGGAGATCAGCGCCCCAGGGACGGACGACGTTCGGGTCCACTTTGGTGTTTAACCATGCGTACCTACGCTACAGCGAACGAGCAAACGCCCTCGACTGGCATACCTCTACGATTGCATTATAAAAGCTTTCGCATGTGGGTCGATAGCTCGGTGGGGATACGCCCCTAAGGGTGGTGACAGCCCCTTAGGGAAGGTAAGTTGTGCCCCGCGAGAACCTATCCTGTCGTAGGGGACCGCGGGATGTACAGCTGGCGCACTCGGCCGGAGCGGCGAAGGGTCGATGCGGGTTACCGTGTCGTCATCGAGTTGTCACTAAAAAATTAAAAGACTAAGTTTCTCCTGCGTGACGCGGCCGAGAGGGCCCTCGCTCGCGCGGGGGCCGATGCGCTCGACAGGTGGCGCCGTTGCCGGGGATAACGGCAAACTACCGTTGTCCCTGGTGGAATGACACTCGGGAATGAAGCAAGTGAAAGATTGTGCCGTAGTGGTTGTCTAAGAAAAAAGGTTAGTAATCTCTGAGCCTCTATAAATGTAAGGAAGGAACCTTAATAGATGTCACCAAAACTCCTAGACTGAATCCTTGGGTTTATGTTTCTAGATGGACGGTGCCGCAGGACGTCGCGACAACGTCGACGATGGGAGGAACGACATTCAAGAATTGGCACGGGTCATCCGGCACTCGCAGCGAGAACCCTACCCCAAGATTGATGTTCCATTGTTTGATGGGAATCATGCCTCTTCTTGGGCAGACAAGTTTGAGCAACTCGGGTATAGCAACGAATGGACGAATGAGAAGATGCTTCGCATGGTTAAGAGGTTCTGTCAAGTGGAGTACCGAGATGAGATCGATGAGCTGGTGCGAATCTCCCGTAATTGGCCAGATTTTAAGGCGCGGTTGCTGGAGAAGTACCAGCTCAGCGATCGGTTACTCGACCTGCGAGATTTGAGGGCGGTGGATCGTAAGAAGTTTGGTACTACCAAACAACTTTTATCGGAGTTTGAGCGTGTGGCTCGCCTAATCCCGAATTTATCCGATAAAGATCGCTGCCTCATCTTCCTTGATAACTTCAACGACGTCGAACAATCGAAGTGGGTTGAAGGGATGCAAGGGAGGTATGACTGGACTAAGGTCCGGCAAAATGCGCTGATGGGGAAATYCGACGATATCCTCTACCGGYYGTTGAGGCAACAAAAGGWGGAAYGGGAGAAGGTGAAGCTGGGAGAGGTAAAGGACGGTGAGATCTATAAAACTTTGACCTGCATTAGAGAAATGGTGGAAGGCTTGAAAGAGGAAAGGCTGAAGTTTCAAGTCATGATGGCCAAAGAGAAAAATAGTAAGAGGAAGGGGAAAGAGCCGATGGTAGAGGAAAGTGACAGTGAGAGCGAGGAGGAAAAGGAGCCGCCTCGTAAGTTGACAAAGGCGGAGAGGAAGGTCTTGAATCAAATTCGAGGTGGACAGGGGACCTCCCGTAGGCAGGGGAAGAATGGCGGACAAAATAATCAAGGAGGGAATGGCGGTGCTGGCGGTGGTTCGTCTGAACAAAATTCGCAGGATCAAGGGCAGTTTCAGCCGGAGGGTGGACGAGGCCGCGGTCGAGGTCGTGGGAACGGACAGGGAAGCCGTTGGGCGTGGCAGCAGGAAGCCACATGTAACTATTGCACAGAAAAGGGCCATATTATGTGGTTTTGCCAACTCCTTTCAAAAGATGAGAAGGAGGGAATAGTCTTCACCACGATACGCGGTGAAGTCTTTGATTACGAAGGGAACCTGATCGACCCCAACATTGAAGGGGGTATGAGGAAGGAGGCGTTTCGCCGAATGGGTCGTCCGCTGCCGGCGACGTTCCGGATTGCTTCTCTCAAAGAGGCGCGGTTGGCCGAGGTCGAGGAGCCCATGGCGTCGTTACATATTGATGACTCGCCGGCGGAACCAGAAGGGTTTAGGAAACAAGTGGTGGAATGAACACAAACCATCACGAGGCGGCATGCCCGATGCCGGGATTCTATCGTCCGATTTTGCGTGGACATGGAGGAAGTCTGGCCTAGATTGCCAAATGTCTTTCTCTTCGGCGAATGGGGTGATAAAAGGGGAGATGCGTCTGGCCAAGTAGGGATGTCTGCTCCGAGAGAAACATCACAAACTGGGCCAATGGTAAGCACAATGCGACCTAGGCCTGTGCTAAAGAGGAGTGCCCCGACTGTAGCCGTGCAGACTCGGATGCGGCGACGAAACGAGCAGCTTCAGAAGGAAAGAGAGTCTGAAAAGGCAGTCGAAGAAGAGCCTATACCCGTTAGTGAGAACGATGAGGATAACGAGGATGAGAAGTTGCGGGCCGAAGAGGAAGAACGGGCTCGTCGTCGTGCACTGGAAAGGGAGCTGGAGAAAGGGAAGGCCGAAGCAAGCGAGGAAGAGCCGCGAAAGAAGAAAAATCTTTACTCGATCCCCGTGGAGCACGGGGTCGATATCGAGCGACTCGTCGATAAGATTCTGGAAAGTTAGCGCGACTTGGTCACGCTGAAAGAAATTTTGGCGGTATCGCCGAAGATTGAGAAGAGTTTAAACAGCGGATGACTCGTAAGAGAGTCATGACTGTTAAGCTCGGCGAATTCATTCCGTCGGAGGCTAACTGGTCCCCGCCTGGGACGAAGATGGATTGGCGAAGTGTGTCGACCGGCCATATGAAGGTCCAGATTGGACAGCAGGAGTACTCGGCACTTGTGGATGATGGAGCCGAGATGAACATCATTCGTGAGCGCCATGCCATCGAAGCTGGGTTGAAGATCAACCGAGATGACTAT